ATGTGCTGTCTGTGGTTGAGAATTCCGTTTACACTTACTCCCTGCACTTCTGCCATGTGTGAGTTTCTACATTAACTACCATCTACTCCATAAAGAAACTTCTTGGATGAGGTTTGAAAGTCATACCAATCTATGAATATAAAGATATGAATTTAGGGAGCAGTTTGAAACTATGCCTACTAATAGAATAATATCTTGGGGCCTATGAGATAATCTACCATGGGTTCTTGAAAAGATTTAGAGTAACTAGGCATGATTTCCTCCTGTGGAATAGGCCTTAAATCCAATAAGAACGTAGTTGGTTACCTTTACAACATTCGTGCCAGTATTGTGCCATACCAGTCATTCCCCCATCCCCTGTGTAATAACCTGCAGTACTATGAAAACTAGGTAGTTTCCTGGTGAGTTCCAACTGGCTCCCTATGACCAATGTGGGTGATGTCCTCAGCAATGGGATTTTACCATGAAGTTCTACTGGGCAACCAACAGCAATGACAATGGTCTGCATTGTTTTGGAGGTCTCTAGGACACCTCTGACCAATAACTCAAGGGGAAGTATCTCATACTTGGTGCTGGTTTCAGGGATAAGCATTATTCCCTGTGTGCACATGAAGCTTGTAAAATAGTAGGTTTTCATATGACTTTTTCAGACATCCTTGTCCTTCACTTATAGCTTTTAATACTTTTTCTTCGCATACTTGAAATCTAGAACCTGAATTGATTGCCTCACTTGATTCATCTCCATATTAAACTCCTCTATGCTGGCATTGATCCTTCATAAAAGCGAGATCATGAAATCTTTTTTCTACCATTTCATCTTTTTTTTCCAGAATTAAGTTGTTGTGCAGCTATGGAGGTGTCAGGGAGGCAACTGTTTCCTGTTTTGTGTATCTTTGCTTTAGTTTACACATCTAATTGGTTGGATGTGTCCTCCAACCCTTTTTCTTTCCTCCACCCTTTTTGTATGTTTACTTTGTTTCTCCTGAGTCTTCCTGATGACCTGCCTTCACTTGAACTCATGCTCCCCGTGACTATTTAGGGAGAAAGCCAACTGCAGTAACAAATACGATGGTTTCTCAGAAATACTTGTGCTCACTTGCAGTAGAAGACACATGTGTTTCTTTTGAGTCCCCAGGGAGTTTCAGAGAGAGAACACACTAGCGCACTGATTGTGTATGAGATAATCATTTCATGGATATAAAAAAGTAAGTGTTAAAATGAGGCAGGATGGGAAAAGAGAAAAGAGGAAGTGGGAATATTCATGGGTAACAGGTATGAAATAATAAAGAGAAAGACTGGGCACTCACATGCTTTGTGCAGGTTCAAGGGAGGCCTGTCCCTTTCTGAACGGAGAAAGAGTAGGTGGGGAAGGGGGTAGATGGGAAAGGAGAGGCCACAGGGAGAGAGCAGGGAGGGGAAACTTGCTGGCATATAAAATAAATGAAATGTAAACTAAATTAAAAACAAAGGGCATTTACAAATGCCTATTTAGGTAAGGTAGAAGCCAAATTATAATTAAATAATTAAGTACATGAGTGTGCATTTAAAAGATTTGAAGTAAACAAATTAAATAGAAGGTATTATAACCTTAGTTCATGGTGCCACGTGGTTGGAATAATTTGGCTTTTCCCTACTCCTTGATTATCTTTTGTAGCAATCCGTGCTAGATGGTATTGGGATAGTGGCTACAAGCTTTCACAATTCAACAAGATAAGACCCTGTGTCCTTCCTAAGGAGAGGCAATTCTGCTGTGGGAACTCTCCTTTCTGCTGGGATTCTCCAGTCTGTGATATTCTACCTGCCAATTACAGCTTCATCTCTGGGGTTTAGAGTGTCATTCTTTCCCTTGCACAGGGCTCCCTGTGACCGAGGCTCTAACAGGGTATGGAATGCCTACCTGCCTTTGTTGACCTTTGTAACCAGCAGGTCTCTTTCCAATCACACCCACCTGAGACTATGCCAAGTTCAACAGCATACCTTCTGAGTCCCTATGCGGCTCATCCAAGCAGTATGAGGATTATACCAACTGGTCAGTTTACTCTAAATCACCCGTGGAGATTATGAACGTCAGACTCAAGAGTGCACTGTTGCCTTAATCTGCCCAGCCAGCTCTGACTCTGAAATCTTTTCACACATGCTCTGTCCAACTCCTAGTTACATATCCACAGCCTCACGAGTATCTCTCCAGTTAGCTGTTCTTGTGGTGCCTATATCTCAGAGGAGAGAGGCCCTCTCTGGTACTTTCCACTGTGCTATGCCTAGGTGCCATCTTAGTTATTTATTTATTTTTACAGAGGAAGATTTCACTTGGGATATTTCTTTTTTGTTCAGCTTTCTCTGATAAGAATTGTATCATTTTTTTAAAATCCTGTCTCAGATCTTCTACCAGATCATACAGAAATGGGTTCTAATGTGTCGTATGTCATATAGTTTAAAAAAACCTTTCTTTGAACCTAACAATGTATGTTTTCTCATGTCATAAAGTACTTACCTAGTATTCAGTTTTAAGTGGTTATGCGCTGTTTTGGTCCATAGAGATGGATAGCCTGTGGACCTTAGTAGACATTGCAACACAGAAATGCAGATATATCTAAGTTCCCTAAGTCAGTCTTTTCCTGTCTATTTACTGAGTTCCCACCATGGGCAGATAATAGGTACATAATGGCAGACACAGCTTTTGTCTTTAAGGAGTTGATAGTCAGGAGGACATATCAATGAACTTGGAAGTAGCCATAAAGAATGGCCAGTGTTAGGCTGTAGATTTAGACACTATGTAGCTTCTGTGGTTGGCAAGCACTACTGGGAGGTGAAACAATTTTTAGTTCAATCTTTGATCAGTGGGGACCAGTGTGAAGAAGTGAGATAATTGAGGGTGTGTCCTTGAAGGAGATATTAGGTCTTTAACTCTGCCCCGCCCCCTGCATGGGCATTTGCATAATTGAGGGTGTGTCCTTGAAGGAGATATTAGGTTTTTAACTCTGCCCCCGCCCCCCTGCATGTGTTTATGGGTTCTGGTCCCATAATCAGCTCTGCTCCTACCCATCTTGGCATGCCCATCATTCACAGTTATTGATCCACATAGCCAACCATGGAATCATCCTCCCATCCTGTGTATGTGGTCCTTTATCACCTGGTCTCCTCACCATTCCTTCAAGCACACTTCTTTCAGATTACTTCCAAGAGCAGAATAGAATTCTCTTTTTAAGGGACAGCTGGCATCTACTACACCTCATCTGGTCTCATCATCTATCTTATCTCCCTAGATTAAGCAGTTTTATCTGCTAATAGAGAAGGCAAACAGGGGTGACAGGATTTATCTTTCTCGATGTTCTGGCCATTTTGATTCCTGGTCCCAAATGAGAGAAGGCAGAGCAAGAGATAGAGTGTAAAATTGTTTTTCAGTGGCACAGAAAAGCCACCCTTTTCAGAACCAGAGTACACATGGAAGGTGAAGTGCTTCTAGAAAAGATGCTCTAACCTCATGGGAGAGGGCTGGCAAGGTGAGCAGGTGGTGGGAGAAGTCTCCCAGGGCAGGGGAACAGGGTACATGTGAAGACATCCTCAAAATAGCCATCCAGCCACTGGCTTGAGCTATGGAAGCCATATCCTGGTTGGCCTCAGATGCCCTGTAATTCATAACTAGATATAAATTGAAAAGGCATGCCTCTGCTAGAAACATGAGCTGTTACAGCCAACCTTGCAGTTCCTTCCCAGAAACATGGCATGTGTTCATACCATGTTTTTCTGAGACAGATGGGTATTGCTCATGCGCAAGGCACAACTGTGTTGGTCCTCACACTACCAATTGATTACAGGAAACCAAACTTGTACTGGAAGGAAAAGTCTAAAACCTGGGGCCCAGTAGGAATACAAAACTATCTAAGAATTTAAATCAAAAAAATCCCTTTGAACAAGAATAGTTTCAGTAGTAGAATTACTTGGTGAAATCCTGGCTATGTGTGCTGACTTGAGTCCATCTATGCTTATGGGACATAGGGAGTACCTGGAGTAGAAGCAGTGGGGTAATTGGTTACCGTTTAGTAAATTCAAAATTATTCCAATAGTCTGGGTATCCTACAGCCACACTACAACCTTCCCCCAGAGCTCCATGAAGCTCTGGGCCTTTTACGGCCCCGGCTGCAGTTGTGGCCTGACAGTCTCTCCTGTGAGACTAGACCATATGGAACTTCATTTCACAACCATGTCAGGAAAAGAGATTCATCTGGGAAAGAGTTTCTCTGGCTTGGCTTCTCAGAGAGAATTTCAGCCAAGATGCTCCGGGGGACATCCAGGAATCTACCTATACCCTGTCCCCCAAAATCTGTCCTATCAGAATGCTGGCTTACTTTGTGTCACCCCCGTGATGACAAACTCAGAGGGACTTGAAGTATAAAACAAAGCATTCAAGCAATTAAAAACTACTTCGCCTGGCTGGAGAGATGGCTCAACTTTGCTAAGAGTCATTGCTGCTCTTTCAGAAGACTGGAATTCTATTCCCTGTCCCATATATGTGGCTAACAACCCCCTGTAACAGCAGCCGCAGGGGATCAGATCCCCTTCCCGCTCCCATGGGCACCTGCATGTGCGTATACCTACACATAGGCAAACACATACGTGTACTATAAATTAATTTTTTTCTTAAAATGAAACAAAAAAATCCCTGGGTTCACCAGGCCTTTCAGAACACAGCTCTATGGAGGAGGAGTCAGGACAGAGGGAGCACAGAGTGAATGGGTGCTCCCCTTGGACACAGCTGAAGACTCAAGCCCATAATGACACAGTTGTGGAGCTAGCTTGCTGTCTTCCCTGCCTTCCTTCCCCCTTCATCCCTTCCCCCTCCCTTCCTTCCCCCCTTCTCAGCTGAACACTTTAGAGCTGGATTTCAAGGACACACAGGCAGCCAGGAAGTAGGGTGCTGACAGCCTCACCAAGAACCCAGCAGATGGAGGAAGTATTTCAAGGGCTGTCAGGATGGCATTAAATATGTTCGGCAGTCAATCTTCCTAGAAATCCTTTATTTATCAAATATTTAAAAACACACAGTTTGCTTTGTAAAGCAAGTTTACAGCAAAATCCATGGCATACACGAACAGTGCATGAGAGGTGGCAGGCACCCTTGCCTTCTAGGCTCAGACATGGCAAAGTATGGACTCCAAGTCATAGGTCTCTGAGTCCTGGCCCCCAGCTCTCTTACTGTGAGGTGGGTGTTCAGGGCATGGGAGCAGGGGGGACATGGATGTCCTTCTCTGTGAGGCTGGTCCACCTTGAAGAATGGGAAGCATACAGCAGTGTCTAATCGAGCTTTCTCTTCTCCTCTGCTTTAGTATCTCTGGAGACGGTTCTCAAAGCGGTGAAAATAGATCCAGGAAAATCAAACTTCCCTGCATTCACGGGGCAGTGAGCAGCACTTAGCACAGACTGGGTGAGTTAGCACTTACAACGCAGGCCTCAACTGTGAAGAGGCAATTTGCAAAAAGATGTGTGTGGTAGGACAGCCTATGGCAACATCAAAATGGATGCAGCAGCCACGTGATTTAGGGAGATAAATAACAAAAACAGAGACCTTAATGATTTTGCAATTTTCACCAATAACAGCAACAACAACAACAAAATATTCACCAGTAGGAAAAACAAGACTGGAGAGGAATGAAAGGGCATTTAAGCCTTCTTTGAATTTTTGTCAAAATATTATCCATGGGAAAGTAAGTTCTTAAGGCAGTAGTGAAGGCCCTTGCTGTGTAGGACATGATACCTAGAATCCTCTGCTGGTGGGGCTCAACTCAAGTCTTCTACAGAGTAAGGACACCCCACACATGCCTTATTCAGCCTCCAAACTCAGCCTGCCGGCATTTCTTGCTCCTTGCAGACAGCCACCCAGGCAGTACACCAGGCCTCTGCAGTCATTTTCACAATGAAGCGGGTCCCTCATTGCTGCAATCCCAGAGTCTAGCTGGCTCTCAAAGTGTGTCACCTTCTTTGTCCAGGACCACAGAGGCATCTGGGGTTTCTGGTTTTAAACTAGACATTAATGACTTGCTCATGGACAAGAAACAAGCCAAACATGCACCCAGGAGAGTTGCATACTTTCTCCCTGCGATGCCGGGTTCCCCAGCCCCACATCTTCAACAGCACCTTCCAGTGAGGGCAAACTAAATTCCTAGTATGCACGTCCTACTTTGTTTCAACAAGGGATGAGGAAGCCATTTGCTTCTGTGTCAGAAGTATTGGCCTGATCATTCTGTGCTTCACTTTCTTACAGATTCGTCAAGACTGAAGCCATCAGCATGCTTGGCTATGAAGTGAGATAGAAGTTGGTGGTCCAAACCATCAAGAATGTTCCAGAAAATTCAGCTTCACTGTTAAAGCAGCATAACATGAAGGAAAAAGAAAAGGATTCACATGACAGTTGGGATGAAGCGTCTGCTTGGGGGGAAAAGTGTCATGGTCATAGAGGACCAGGCAGAGAACTTTGGTGAAATGCCAGATGTAGGTGTGGCTAAATATTCTCTGGGACCGTAGCTATAGTTTGGGGCCTCAGAGGGAAAAGGCAATTCCCAATTTTTCCTTCATCTTCCCTTGGGATAATATACCCCAGAATGTTTTGCATCTATAAGATGTATAAATTACTTCAGTTCACAAGACTAAGTGGGCTGCTGGGATGCATCCACAATGAGTAGCTAATGAGATGTCTAAACCACAGCCAGGCACACTGCAATGGAATTCCACATGCCACTCAAAAGATGAGGTAAGTCTGTGGAGTTAGGTATGTAAGAGTATGTCACCACATGTCTCTCTCTCTCTCTCTCTCTCTCTCTCTCTCTCTCTCTCTCTCTCTCTCTCTCTAAAAAGGCAACTTCATGTACATGCATAGAAAACTAAAATGGGTTTAAAGAACAGACTAAACTCTCAGAGAGAATTCTAGGAAGGAAGGTTTAAATACAAAATACTTTTAAGTTTTCCCCTGCTCTAATTGCTGATATTTTCTCTAATGTGTATTATTTATAAAAAAAAACACCCCAATGTTGAATGACTTAAGAAATATTAAGGAGTGCTGTGTTTAAAAAAACAAAACAAGCAAACAAACAAACAAAAACCCGAGTGTCATGTGTAGACAGTTGACTCTTGCTGAGCCTGGTAGACACAGAAATTACACTGTGGCAGGAGAAAAATCCTGAAGCATGGCGAAGGCACCTAAACAAAACAGTAACATGAAAGTGAGGGGCCAGATTTATGAAGACAAACGGGCTCTTTGGAATTCTGTGAAAGGATGTATTTTTGGAAAAGCCCAGAAATTTTGAGGCTCTGTCAAACTATTATTGGCACAAGGAAGCATCTAATATACAAAATAAGCAGAAACAGCCCACTGAGTCTGCAGCTGTACAGTCAGCTGAACCACTGGTGTCCTGATAGCACCCAACCTGCACAAAAGCGCCTCCCCTGCAGTGCTGCCATGGAGACTGCTGACGATGAACAAAACAGAAGAAGGGGAAATGGCACAGAACTTCTAAAAACTATCTCTGGTATTCAGTCTCTCGATTATTTCTCTCTTTCTCTATCTTCCTTCCTTCCTTCCTTTATTTCTGAAAAAAAAATACAGCCAGCAACAATTCTAAAGAATGAAAGACAAAACCCAAAAGGGAGACAACAAAAAAATGAAATGCTTTCTAGTCATTGTTAGGTAGAAGGACATGCAAAAATGTCCATTTTATGTATCCCTGATACTTTTTGGCTCAAGGATGAGACTACAGAGTCCACCAGTTGACTGTAAGGGAAGACCATGGAGAGGGAGCAAATAGGATACAGGGTCCACTTCAAGAGACTCTGCATGACTGTGACATTGTAGCCTAGACTGGGGCTGAGATTCAGGTCCCTTCACTCAGTGGGCAAGATCCAGGAGAACTGCACTCCTCCATCCAGGAATACATTTTTCTGTGGGTGGGCAGAGCAGTCTCCAGTTTAGACTTTACTTCCCTGAGAAATGGACCAATAATACTGAATTCTGCCTCCTCTAGTCAGAGAATCACACTGACACAGTTTTTCAGTCTTCAAGCAAAAGCCCATCTATACCAGGCCCAAGCCCGCATTTAAGTACATGTAAACACATCACTGATCAAGTTTCACAGTTATGAGCCAGGGCACAGTCACCAAAATACCAGCACTTGTCAAGACCTGGATGACAGTCACTCTTCTGAGAAAAACTCCTCTGTTGAGCAGATAGAGCTGATTTTCTTTTCCCACAAATCCCTGTTGTTTTTGTCTTCAACTGTGAACCACTTAATAGGTCTTCCAAAAAAGGGGGATGCCATTAGCTGCCATGTCAGAGTATTTACAGTGAAACCAAATCCTTCCAGTGTCTGGCTCACTCTTGAATGGAAGAATGGCGGAGGGATCGGTGGTAATCTGGAGTGCTGATGTGTTCAGATATATCGTAGCCCCTTGGGAAATGTCCACTGTTTTGGTGAGCAAAATAAAACAGCTGTTTGGCTAGCAGAGGTTCCACCTTTAACAAGACATTTTTTAAAAAGACATTAGTAGACATTAAAAACCATTAGTAGACATTTTAAAAATTCCTTTAGCACCACACAATTGATGCCTCATTAAATGACCCCTAGACTCTAAGCAAAACCACAAGCTGTATAATACAACAAAGCATTTTCACGTTCAGAACCATTTGAAAAACCAGTTTTGTTTGCCCTTACAATACCTGAAGTATAATATCCTGGTAATAGAACTCTTGGTTTTATTTTTTATTTTATTATTTATTTATTTTGGCTTTTCGAGACAGAGTTTCTCTGTATTGTTCTGGAGCTTGTCCTGGAACTTGCTCTGTAGACTAGGCTGGCCTCAGACTCACAGAGATCTGCCTGTCTCTGCCTCCCAAGTGCTACGATTAAAGGCGTGCACCACCACCGTCCAAATAAGGCTTGGTTTTAAAATTGAAGCTAATTATGACATTTTCAAACCAATTGCCTCTTGGAGTTTATTTAGCTAAATGACTGGATATCATCAGGTGAAATTATCAAATTAAAAGGCTAAGTAAAACTCAGGGCAAGTTAGGTTCATGAATTTGACAGGGAGAGGGGATCACTTGGAATGACGAATGACTATGCAATATGAACAACTCTGATCCACGAGTTGACGACAAACAGAACACAAAACAGTTATGGCAAACAGTGTTCGCTCGCTCTGGTGGATCTAGCTTGTTGATGAGCATAGATCACATTCCCATTCAAAGCCAGCCTTCACCAGGTCAGGCTGAATGCTCTGTACCAACCTATCATATCCACATTAAGACTTTTTGTGTGATTTGATATGTAATGATTGACATGAATTGAGTCCATGAGTGTATGCCTGAGTATGTTATCCATCTGTGGCAGCATTTTGAGGCCCTTTGCCCATAGGCCCATCCTTGCCTTTTCCTTGTGGAACCCCACTGCAACCAAAATCCTTAAGATCAGATGGATGAAGGAATTTACTGCTCTTAAAATGCTATCAATTTTAGACTCATCCACTCATGTACAATCTCATTTGGTATCAACCACCAGATAGAACTGAGAAAATTCTCAAGTCTACCACTATATTTTGTTGCTTCTTGGATTTTGTTTTGCAATTAAGAAGGGAGGCTGGATACTTGACATCAGTGTCCCATGCCCATTCCCACCTGGGTCTGGAATCCAAAGCTTTACCAGTACCAGATAACTGCTTACCACTGAGAAATACTATCAGAACTAAAATTTCATTTGCATTTGAATACTGTGGTATTTGGGGAATGTAAGATTTACTTGGTACTGGATACTTTTCTAGATATGTAATAAAGTAAAATTTTCTAATTAAAAACATCAGGTATTCAGAACTGTTTTTTAATTATTAAATGAGTGCTAAACATTATCTAAATAAACATGTTATCTTTTCTTTGCAAAGATATTTACGGGGCACGATTGCACCCATCTTAAACTGGACTAGCTGTAAGGACAGATTGGCCTACCTAGTCTCCTGGAAAGACCAGACCTCCTCCCAGGACCCCTTGCCCAGCTATTAAATAACTTCCAAAGTTCCAAAATAAAAAGAGGTCCTGGAATTATTGGGTCATAGTACACAACACACAGTTTCCCAGTGAGGAGAGTTCATCCCCTCAGGAAGCCTTTCTAGAGTAGACAACATTTCAAATTCAAATGAGAAGCAGAGTTATCAGAGCACAGAGCATGGCAATTAGTACCAGCCGCTTAAAATTCCTATAAAAGGGAAGATGAAGAATTCCGAACCCTCAGAGCCTTGGGTTCGAGGTATCCACCCTGCTGCTTCAGTGGTGACAAACTTTGACTGGAAGTTTGTGGGTCCCCGAGCTGTGTTGCTCACTGGGGCCTGCTTCCTCCTAAGCTATTTTAAGAGCTGCATTTATTTTCCCAGGTGAGTTGACATTTGTTCTCATTTGTCACTTCTCTAAAAGGGCCTGCTCCACAATGTGTGACTTGATGGTGTTGTAACTGGATACTCACATGAGCTGTGATGAGCTTCCTCTGCCTCTGAGGGTCTGGAAACTCCTCACCGAAGCACAGAGTCACCCGGAATCTGGGTTCTGGCCGGCCATGGTGAGCAAACACTTGCAGCTCTGAGAACCCACAAGGAAAAACAAAACAGAACTGCTCAGACACCTGGTAAAGGGGGCTGAATGGAAACCAAGAGCCACGTGTGATTCTGCTTTGGGAGAGCCAAGCTCTGTTTCCCTAAGACCAGCCCTTAGGGCAGGCCCCAGACACGAAACCGCATGTCCTAGTTCACATGTGATCTCACATGGTCGTTTTACTGCATTATTCTTCGGGAACATGACTGAAGTGTACGAACTTGCTTCTGCAGCCCTGGACTCACAGAAATGTGCCAGGACAGAGAAGACGAAGAAAAGTAGCTTCGTTGAGGCAAACAAACAGCAATGGCTAAAGTGACACTTTAACTTAAAACGTTAAAATGCTACGGTTATTTTTAAACATCACTGCCTAACCATGGAGGCCATGTGGTGTTTGGGCACCGAGGGCATCTGTGTCCCACTGGGATCTGGATCTAAAACTGCAAACTATGACTTGAGTAGACTTCAGTCTCACTTTGCAGACAGAATGATGTAGCAAGAAGGGGACTGATGAGGCCCCTCTGGCAAGGATGCGCCTGCTGAGGCTGTTCCTACCCGAGAGATATGAAAGAGACAACATTATTGAAAAAAACCTGTCCGTGGCTGGGGTACCGGCACTGGCAGAGCCCTTGCCTTACACGTGCAAGGCCCTGGGTTCCACCCCCAGTACTGCTTCAAAGAACAAAAAGCCACATCCAATCACTGACATTAACCCTTGCTCGCCCTCCTGGCTCTGGGCTCCCAGGTCTTGTCTGCAGGAACCTGACAGAAAGGAGCTGCCCCTGCAGAGCAGCCCTGAAGACTCTGCCCTTATCTGATGTGAATGCTCAACCCTATAGCTTACAGGGACTGTCCCTAGTAGGGTGCAAATCCTGAATGGGTAGATATCAAAGACTTCCATTGCTCTCTGCAACTGAAGAGCTTCTAGAAGCTCACAGAACCGACTTCCTGCTTTTCTTTCTCTTTCTTCTTCCAGAATTCAAGTCACAATTGTGTGAAGTGCATGGCCCTGTGGCTGGGAAGACACCCACACCACAGGTAGTGTAGTCAGAGTAGCAAATGAGTCCAGGACTCTGAGAAAGCCCACTTCAGCCTACTAACTCGAGCCCATTGGGTGGGAATCCCTAGGTGCAGAGGTTGCTCTGCCTCTCAGCTGCAGTGTTATCTTTCCTGAGCATCAGAGAAGCTTGGCTCCACACTGTGGAGGCTGTGGATGGCAAAAAGAACAGTCCCCACTATAGATTAAGCTCTTGCTTATGGATAACTAATAAGCTCTAGAACCTACAGTATCCTTTCTACTACAGTGTCTGCCTCCTGCCTGGATCCCCACTGGAAAAAACCAAGACTTGTGTACCTCCCAGTCCCATCTCTGGTAAGTGCCATAGTTCTGGGCTACCTTAGTCAAGCAGGGAATTGGAGGTAGCCTTCTAGGGGGACACATGAGAACTTCCTGACCCCAGGGCAAACAAGAATGTGCAGACAATCATTCCAAGAAGTTGCTTTTCTTTGCCTTGGACTATGAACACTAGAACTCACCCCAAGGGAGGCAAAACAGTCTGACCCAGGCTGAGATCATGCCCGGATCCAAGGGTCTTCACCATGCGTCTGCCTTGGAACCTGAGATAATTCCCTATCCTGTGTCCCAACTCTTAGGAAAGAATATTTGTCAAGGAACATGGTTTGCTTTGGGAAATGAAAATATTTGGATGAGCCTAAACAAATATTGGCCACTGGAGTCCAAAAGGCTGAGGAAATGCCACTAATGCCAAGAACACTGCTGCTTTATGTCTTTGTTGTAAATGAAAGGAAGGAGATGCACATCGAGGATTCAGTTGTCCTCCTTCTGTGTACACATCCAAGACAGAGTAAATCAGTGTTGCAGAGACAACTGCACTTCCATAGACAACAGCACCAGTCAGAGCAGTTCAGATAAAGAGTCATCCCAAGCGCCCACCAATGAACAAATACACAGATAAAGAGGCATCCCAAGCGCCCACCAATGAACAAATACACAGATAAAGAGAGTACCAGGTGGTATCGATAACAACAGAATATTACTAAACCTTTAAAAAATAAGGAGGGCTTGCCATTTGTAACAACACAGATGAGTCTGAAGAACATCATGCTAAGTGAAATTAACCATGCATAAAAAGACAAATACTGCATCATGCTCCCATGTGAACTTTAATATAGTTGAACTCATAAAAGTAGCACTGCATGGTGGTCACCAAAGTGGGGAGCAGCTAGGAAGCTGTGGGTCAGAGAATATAAACTCAGACAAGAGGCGTTGCTGAACACAAGCTCAACAATGGTATATCCTCTTTTTTTTTTAGATTTTATTTATTTATTACATATACACCAGATTGAATTGTAGATGGTTGTCAGCCACCATGTGGTTGCTGGGAATTGAACTCAAGACCTCTGGAAGAGCAGTCAGTGCTCTTAACCTCTGAGCCATCTCTCCAGCCCGTAGTAATGGACTATGTACTTGAAAATAGCCAAGAGCAGATTTCAAGTAGTGTTCTTACCAAAATAAAGAAAAAAAGATAGGCATGCAAGACTATAATTGGTGCAATTTAGCCATAATCCAGTGTACATACATTCTAAACCACCATGGTGTGCACAGAGGAGAGAAGCAAAACACATTCATGTTCAAGAAATGGAAAGCGCAGGAAAAGCCAGAGGTGTGGGCTGTTTGGAAAGGGCATCAAGAAGAAAGCAAGCTTGGGATACGATGGGGAGACTGGCAGCAGCCAACAGAGCATCCTCTGACATCCCAAAGACATCCTCTGCTAGACATCCTCTCCCAGACTTCCCTGGCCCTACGATGGTACTTCACAGTGGCATAGCTAATGACTTCATGTAAGCTAACTTAACTCAACAAAATCAAAATTCAAACAGTCAGAAGTATAGGTTCTGGAAAACATGACTGAAGCTCTTGAATGCCAGAGATAAGGCCAAGCTTTCTCAGCATTTCCCCCTTGCTGAAGCTGTCCCTTACACTCTTAGCCTTGGTCCCACCTGCAGTGTGGCACTTTTATAAGGGTGACACATCTCATAACCAAGAATGTTAACAATGTGCTTCTAACCTTCTTGATTTTTCTAGGAAGACCCAGTAAGCTGTAGTGTCAGCAGATAAACTTGCTGAGAGCAGAGAGCAACAGTGGAACCTTGTTGAGGGTGGGGCACATGCTGCTGAAAACCCACATTTTAATTCATTAGCCAGGTGTGATGCTGCACACGTATAACCCCAACGCATCTCCAGTTCTAGGCCAGCCTGAGCTACATAGATTCTGCCTCAAAAATAAAAGGACTGGTAATAATAGTGATAACTTAAGATATCACTCTGTACCATAGTCTATCTCAGCCAGTTCATATGGACCCTCTTACTGGCCCTCTGCTAATAAGGGGAGCACACCACAGACAAAGGTAAGACATGAATGAGGCAGAAACCATACTCCTGTGAGCTCACAGGTCTCAGGAGGAAGACTCCTACCTGGGGTAGGCAGACCCTACCATTTGGGACCTTCCTGGCCAACACCCACAGCCACCCCCACTTTAACAGATTGTGAAGTGTATTACCTGATAGGAACTGCTGTGTGTCAAAGAGCTTGCAAGTCTGGTCTCTTTCTAGTTTGTTGGGCCGATCATTGCACAGTGCCAGGGGCCCATCCCAGTAGATCCTGCTCTGGCAGAGTCTTTTGGCATAGAGCCCATCTGGTGCCATCCAGAGGACCAGTCCCCTCTCCAGGTGGCTCAACAACTTTTCGATGTTCTTCCTCTGCCCATTGTCCTCTGGGTAAGGGAACAGGACCTGGTCCAGATTGCTGACATCATAGGTATGTCCATGGGAGATCCGGCAGCCTTCGGGGCTAGATGTGGTCAGCTCCTTCACTAGGATGTCCCGGTAGTACAGGTAGATATGTAACCGGCAGTCTGTGAACAGAACTCTGGAATCAGTGCTGATGGGACCTGGGACAGATAGCACAATGGCTCAATGGCTACACTGATATGAAGTACAGCAAGCAGGTGGAACACTAGTAATCAAGATGCTCCATGAACAAGTAGAAGATTCTAAGGCCAAGGAAGTCTGGGAGATGTTAACTGCCCTTGTCCCCTTCAGATTCCTAGATGGCAAGCACATTCAAATCTAAGAGAAGCCCATGGAAAGAAACTTATTTCTCTAACACAGCCATTTTCAAGCGTTGATGTGACCATTTATGTACTCATCTTGGGGAAGGGTGTACTGCTTGGATTTTCATCTCAATTTTACTAGACAGCCCCCCCCTGTTATGAAGGGTTTTTTTTGGATGTCATTTTGTCTAGAATATGAAGAAACACCACTGAATGGGAATTCATCTTCCAGCCAAGTTAATTTTAATTTTGGAGTTGAACTCTAAGATTAATTTCTACTAGTAAAAAGTACAGAGACATCTCAGAAGAAAAGTAAATGTGTCAACAGCTCTGGAACTTCCATAAAGTGTCACCATGATGTCAATTAAGTAAAAACAAAACAACAACAAAAACAAAAAGGAAACCCACAGAGATAAGTTGGAGGTAAACACTAAAATAACAACTTCTGGGCTATGAAAAATGATACTTTTATTTTCCTAAGTCAGTTTTCTTGGAGTAGGGGGAAGGAACTGATGAGAAAATGCTCTAAGAGCCAATGGTTAATGTTAAGTCTCCTGAAATCCCACTAAACTTTGTGTTCAATTTTGAAAAGAACCCAACAACTATTTTTCTACAGCTTTAAGACAGGAATTTATTGATGGGTGTTTTATTGATTTCAGAAACCGCTTTAAAACACCACCCACAAGCTTAAAGGGCAAGCTGGGTGTGCAAAGGGCTCCCTAGCAGAAACAGACACCCATGATGGTGGTTGGAGCCCAAACAATGCCTGGAAAGAGTAGCTTTCTGAAGAGTACACTCTGGGTTGATCATTAATTATGCAAACCAGAAAAAGAAACCCACAAAACCCTGGTGTTCTTCAATGGTTCTAAGGCAGCCCATATGATGGTGTCTTCCATTTCTGCTGCTATAAACAGCAAGTCAGGCGATGCACCCAAAGAGAGGGGGCGTTGGCCATCTGAGGTGACTGGTAGGGCAGGTTTCATTTCGTTTAATGTCACCAGAATCACAAGATTGCAGAGATATAAATAGCTATTTATTTCCTACTCTTGGGGCACCCATACAAGTCTTAGGTGTTCCAGAAGAGATTTTGGAGGTTTTTAGAGTCAGTGACAAGCCCTGATGCTCAGAAGTATCCCTCTTCTGCTCTTAAGTGGCTCACAAAGTCTCCAAGAGCATCAGATTTGGAAGGAACCAGGTGTCAAGACTTCTTCCTCCCTTGTGAATAAGGAAAGTGTCTAAAACATTCAAAATGTAGTTGATATTTTCAGTCACAGACGTTTAAGGTGGCCACAGGCATGGTGAGAATTCTAATGTGCAAGCTATTTTTAATATCCATTCAAATTCCATTTGAAAACATCAAAAAATCATCTAAAGACTAAATGGATATTGGATGCATATTTCAAGTGTATTGGGGCTTAATTAGTAATGAAACTTTAAAATCTGATCAAATCCATAGACACTCAGATATTCTATTGAAGTTGCAAGGGAGAAAGAGCAATATAGTCCTTTGGGGCATAGGAACTTCTCAGAGACCAGGGTCCAGAACCAGTGTTCCCTGGAAGCAGTTCAAGACCACCTGTTTTTGGCTAACCCTGAAAGGACAAACAGCATTTGGAAATGAAAAACCTTTGTGCCTAAGAAGCCTCTCTGCACTATGAAGTATGTTGTCTGGAGGAGGAGCCTGTCTGCACATTCCTGGAAAGCTGGGCAGGTAACAATGTATAGGTTAACTACTTTATCCAAGTAGTGTTTGGATAGCTGGTACCCCAGCGGAGATTTCTAATAGTGTTTTTTATTTACTGTGATATTCACACAGACTGGGTCATGTCTATTCCAGACTATAGGGCCTTCAAGGTAAGAGTCTAGATCCTCACCCAACCTACCCAGAGGAGAGATGCCACCTCCCCCATAGGCTTAAAGGAAACGCTACACTCACCTGAGAGTGCCAAGGCTTCAGCAGACCTTATGCTTGGCTCTATGGGGATTCCAGGAGCCTGGGACTCAGGTGGGGCACAAGCATAAAAGGTTCCTGTCACCTGGCAACCTGCATTTGCAAATGAAAATCAGATGATGTGTAAGCAGAGAGCTCAAGTTCAGGGAGGCTCTTGAGTTGGGAGGAGCCATGCCCGGTCACCTTCCAACCCAAGCTTGAGAGGCTCTAAACACCCACTGCCAGCAGAGGCTGTGACTAGGAGGCAAACGCCAAAGCTCAAGTTCAGTGGAAAAATGCAGGGTGATGGAGGAAGGAATCTCAGCACAGCTCTGGATGGAAACATGGAGCTCCCGCCATAGCTCATCAACAGGGAAACTGAGGCCCAGAAGGACAGGGGTTTGCATCAACCCATACAGCAGAGCTAGAGTTCAAATTTATATAAGGTTAGCTAAAAATGAATAAATTATTCAATCCTCATTTATTCTGCTTGCTGTTTGTAAGTTTTGGGGAAAATTGAACCATGCTCCCTGGCAGCAGAGAAGTTATATCACCTCAAACCAAGAACAACCTAAGCGTGGATGGAATGCTGGTGCTGGGGTGGGGGGTGAGATTGTGACAAGGAAATTATTTCCAGAATAATAGAAGAGGACCACACGTGTGGTGACCCATGTCAAGACTTCTATTTAAATAATGAACTTGAAAGTCCTAAAAGCTTGTTTCATATCCAGCCTAGTGGTACAGGCCTGTAATCCCAGCTACTCAGGAGTTCAAGGCAAGAGGGTCAAAGAGCAATGCAACCTGGGTAATTTAGCAAGACTCTCCTTTAAAATACACAGTTGAAAACGGGTGCAGGGTGTAGCTCAGTGCATTTGCCTAAATAAATGCCAAATGATCAAAGCTTCGTTGAACATAGCTCAACTCAATTTCTGTGTCTGGTTAATTGGTGTTTCTTCTGTGGGACTTCATCTAGCAGGGGGTGGGGGATTGTGGGTCTTTGGGGCTGACCCTCCTTTGTAGAGAAGTTTTCTGGATTACTTTTGCTCTGGTCATTCCTTCATACCAAGAACAGTTACAAGTGACTCATCACTCCTCAAGGGACATGAATTAACAGTGATCTCCTGAAGTCTCTGCAGAGGTGGGCTGGGCACAGCTGTAGTATGGTCCCTTTACAGGATAGTTGAAAGAAATAGATTAGGAAGATAGTATGACTCTCCATCAGTAAGTAATAAGGGACAATTCAGAGGGAAGACTGATAAAAATCTATTCCTCCATCCTAGTATGACCAAGAAGGCATAATGTTACAGAGAGCAAAAACATGTTAACCAAATTATTGAAAGACAAAGTAGACAAGTTTTATAATTGACATCCTTTGCCATTGGGCACTTGTAGATATCCATGCTTTTCTCTGCTTATTAAAAATGGGATGGGCATTGAAATGATTTCTGGGCTCTTTTAATTAAGTTTCCACACAGAGTGATGCCTATCATAGCCTGAGGACTTCAGCATCCTACAGGCCAAGGCAAGATTCCTCCCCAGCCACAAGCTTCATGTGATGTCTCTCTGTGTCTCTGCAGAAGGGAAGAGCGGGAAAAGCTCTGTAGTGCTGCCTGGGAAGGTCAGCCAGGGTTGCTCACACCCTGAGCCTGGCTTGTTCTTCTGCCTCCTTCCTTGGCACATTCCTTACCATTTTCACAAGATGGGCCTTGCCAGTGGTGACTCCGGGGGCCAAATGTCACAGGACACTGATACGGGATTTCTGGATGTGACTGATCAGGGGCATAGTCCCTCCAGCTTCTGTCATGAGGTGGCATCATGTAGTTATGAACCTGCTGACAGAGCACAGGCATTGCTAAGAGGAAAATATTAGTGGGTGTCGGGGTGCTTTCATTATTACCCCAACTCCTCAGGGAACCCTTTTTATGGGCCAGAAGCCAAGCAATTTTGTCCAAGTGGCATGAACTGTCTGTCACACTAGGTAGGAAACAGCAATAGAGGGTCAAAAAGCACAATGGGGACATTGTGTAAATCCATGATTTTTGTAAGGTTTCATCATATGGCTGAGCCTGGCACCAAAAATACTGCAGTGAAGTCTGCCCTCTTTAAGCCACCAAAGTGAATAAAACAGTACTGTAATTCACATCGGGGAAGCCTAGAGAAGTCAGCTGCCCTGTGGTTTCACATGATAAAGTACCACTTCCAAAACCCTTGACTTCCACAAAAGGTCTGATTCCCAGAAGATCTGACCATCAGTAGAAAGCACATCACAACAGGTGGGACACATCAAACTCCCCAACTAAACCACCAGGGACAGTGACACGATGCTGAAACCGAAACATCCTTCTATGACCAGGGGTTTGTTCACATTTGTACAGGCCATAGCAAATAGTAAGTCCTGCTCTTTTCATTTGTGTTTTCTCCTCTCTGTGGAGCCAGGCAAGAAGACTCAGCCTAGCCTTCCACAAGTCCCCCACATACCTGGGCTGGCAGTGAGCCATAAGGTGCTGCCATGGGGTAGGGGTGACCCATGGCCATCTGTGTGTCTTCCAAAGTGAGCTGCTTTGCTCCTGTGTGTTTGGGGAAGGAGAAACAGCAGAGTAAAAGAAGGAACTGACTTAGCTGAATAGCAAATCTTAGAAAAATACCTGAGCACTTTATTCTTAGAATGCACAGCCATGTTAGCCAATCAGGTGTTTTTCAAGCAATTCCCTCCAGCAGTTATTTATCTGTGCCATTAAACTGATTAAACAGGCTCCGATTTGTGCATGACAGCCAGAGAAAGAAATACCGTGCAGAGCACTGCGATCCACCAAGGTTTCTGGCATCTAGATGGTGCCTAACTGAGGCATCCTGAATGGTTGGAACAAATGCATATTCCTGGGCTCTGATCTAGACACACCAGTTGGATTTTTTGAAAGAGGGAAGCGAAGATCTGAGTTTTCACAAGTACCAAAGCAGGCGATAGAAACTCTGGCATTTTTATCACAATAAATGTGAATATTTATGGAGTGCTTGGTGTGCTTTCCTCTCTAAAAAATGTTTAATTATTAGAGGATATTAGGTAAGTAAAATTTTAATGTATCTTGCAGTTTTGTTTGGAAATTTGGTCCACGCCCTAACTGAATGGAGTAACTGGAACACTTAAGGCCTGCATGTGCACACCCACGTGTACATGGGGCTTAAAGTCTGAGACGTAATCCTCAACCAAAACCACAAGGTTTTCCCTTATAATCCAGAGAGCATGGGACAGGAGGTAGCAGTCTACAAAACAGAAGTAGAAAGTGATCCTAAGTAGGAATTAAGGCTCCATGAGTGTCACACTGCCTCTATCCTGTGACCTACGTTGGGGAAATCCCCTACCTTTTTTGGCTCCTTCTGGAACAATCCTGTACACCTTGTACGGGTCTGAAATATCCAGCTGGCTCCTCTCTACCAGTTCCTCAAAGTCATTGCTCTTGTTCAGAGCACATCGTAATCTTGTCTTCCAAGTAGGAGGATCGGGCTTGTCGATGCCTTCCCGGAATTTTCCTTTAAATAGTGCCCAGGCCTAAGAATGAAGAGAAGGAAAGTCAAAGTGCAGATCTTCACAAGGAATCTATAGATTGTATTTCTGAAAGGAAAATTGGTGTTTCAGATTTGCTGTTGTCCAAAACGTGGAACATGATGATACCAAGACCTCTAAGCAATGAACTTGTCTCCTAGGACCCTGCCTTGAGATAGGGAGACCCCTAGTGTGGGCTGTACACACCCAATGCCTGCATCAAGAGCTGCGGAGGGACAGGCCCCAGAGAGGACATCTCACTGAGGTACTATGAACAAATTCCCACAGGAAGTCCCCTTCCCCTACCCTGCTGGCAGGCGGCGGAGACTGGGGGCTTCACAGTTCAGGGAGCCAGCTCTCTGGGGACATCAGTCCTAAGGGATTCACATGGGGAGCGGGTCTCCCAGAGGAAGTCTTGGAATAGACAAAGTCACCCAAAGAACAGAAACAGAGACGGAAACCTCCAGAATTAGAACCAGTCATCAGAGGAGCTCAACCAAAGACACAAAACTCAGAGAAACTCAGAAAAGTAGCGACATAGAGACAGGGAAGCTGAGAGTGGTCCTAGTTAGTAGTCAATGGTGACAGTGGCAGGAAGCAGCCTAATGGGCTGTGCAGTCCGAGTCCCAGCCTCAGGGCACTGCTGGACCCCAGGGATGCTCGTGGAACTGTAAGTACTTTCCTCCCCACAAGCTTAGTGTGGGGACCCGGTTTTCCGTTTGTGTAATCCCCAGAGAACATGAAGCCTTTCCTTTCACCCAGGACTACTGCCAGGCAGGACCCGATGCATGATGCTCTCGCCTCTGCCTCGCGGGGCACACCCGACCTCCAGGTCCCTTGCTCTGAAGGCACAGTAGTCCCGAACTGTCTGACTCTCCTCTGGTCCCAGAATCTCCCAGGGCATGGGATTCCCAGTGCTGATACCTTGAAAAGGGCGGCGTCCTCCTCGCGGTTGTAGTCCTGCTTGCCCGCATGCTTCCACGGGATGCGGAAGACGCTCTTCTCCTCGTTCTCCCACACCAGCCCGGGGTACTTGCCACTGTCGATCTGGTCGATCAGCCATTGGCGGAGTTTCCCGTTGCCGCAGCTCACCGCGCTCATGCCGAACTCTGCGCCCCGGCTGCCCGCCTCCAGGTTCATGCCGCGTGCCAACCTCCTTCTGCGCTCGCGCGCTGAGGGGAGACAAACTTCCCTGCAGCCAACATGGCATCGCTCTCGGGGCGCCCTGTCCCAAACTCTTGTGGTGACCACGAGGCCCCGAGTCCCTGAGGCCGGGAGGTGCTCGCGTTCAGTGCCATTCAATGTCGCCAGAGTACCCCCAAGAGAAGGTACTTTGGCAAAGGTGTGGGGAGCATCCCTTGGCGCGCACCATCCTCAAAGTTTGTCCTTTCACCTCAGCTTGCACTCACTGTTCACTATTTTAACGCGCTCCATAGCAGAGAGCTCCTAGACACACAACTATCTGTACACTCCAAGTTTTGTGCCACCGTGGGCACCCTGTTTGCTTACTTGCCCCCCTCTGTCGACTCCAAGCTACTTTCACCCCACTTTTCCCTCACTGCTTCTACTCCTCCTCTCCGGGGGGGTTCAGGCTACGCTAGTGGCCCCAGGCACGAAAGATCTGGCACGTGGACTAGCCCTGGTTCAGGTCTTGTGCCCATGACTTGTAGGTGTGGAACATCTAGCTCTACTCTCCCTCCGCTTTTTTCTTCGACACCCTCACTTTGTCCCGGGAATAACGCCAGGCCTGCCTACCCAGCCAGAGCCGATTACACGGACCCTGGAAGCAACAAGTGGAAGTCTGGGTATGGGCGACATCCCAGCCTTCAGAGGATCAGCGAGACCCCAGGTGGGGGTGAAACCTAGGCTGGGGATACCGGGTACTGCGCAATACTAGCTCCCCTGCGCGGGAAGCGAAGGAGGGCGTGGGGGAAGGGGCTCTGAGTGCCCCAAGTTTGGAACTCCTAGTTCTCCTTGACCATCCCGCCTAGGAATCGCGCGCTGGAGCCCTCGATGAGTTTGGGTCCCTTCTGAATCAGGATTGGGAAAGGAGCTTCTTATGGAAGCAGACAGGGTCAGTGGCTGTCCCCCTGGGAACAAGCTGCCGCCAGTGCATGACCCTTTGATGGCACGGCAGTCCCGTTAGCTTGTCCGGCCCAGCCCGTGAGGATGTTCTGGAACGCTTGCTCAAGTAGCCTCACACAGAACCCACCGTGCACACGTCCCGGGCCAGCGCAGATTGGGGGAGCCAGGGACCACTATGTCTCTACGCTCTTTCGGAGCTTGGGCTTAGAGATGGAAACTGGGCTTCTCGTTCCCTCCCTGTCCTGTGTCACCAGCCTCACACTCCTTCTGCCCGACTCCAGGCCTTACCTCACCCGCACTCTGAGCTGAGGGCAGCAGAGGGTCCCAAGTTCAAGTGGTGAAACTCGGAAAGCGAGGTGAGAAAGAGGAACTTTATAGGGGCGGGGGCGGGGCTCGGCGCTGGGCAGGGCGGAACGGCTCCGCCTGCAAAGGCGTGACTCCACTAGACGGAGACCCGCCCTCCACCCGTGCTCTGTGCCTGGCCAAAGCGGGCTATCAGGCTGGGACAGGAGCTTCGGACTGTAGCCTACAGGGTCAGGGACTGTCCCCCTGCGGACAAGCTCTGACTTTCTCCATTCCCTCCAGTGGAAGGGGTATGGGACTCTGACGCACTCTGAAATCCTCAGTCCAGTGGGACAGCCACTGACCCGTTCCATGGGAGGACAATGCTCACAGGGATTCTCGGCTGGATACTAGCACCTGCACCGAGAGACTAGCTGATAACTAGTAGCTGCTCGTCATGGCCAGGGAGGGAAGTGATGGAGGGTCTGGAGTCCAGGGAAGAGATAGACTGAGAGGTGGGGAGCAACCTTGGCATGAACAACGGGGAGCCTGGTCTCTCCGCAGTGTTTAGAGAATCACAATCATGCTCACTAAAAAGAAAATAGAAAGGCAAGTCCGTAAACCGTGGTCCAAATACTGTGTCTGAAACGCTTACACGCTTTGGATGTATGAAACCGATGAATTGAGATGACTCAGACAACGCACAGCCCCCAAAGTTTCAATTATGCCAACATAAAAGAGATGGGGGATCCCTAAGTATTCTGGTAGTTAGCACTTCAGGATGTCAGTTCACCTTAAAATGATAATTTTAACCTCAGTCTTGTGAGAGACAGTTACCCAGTGGGGTATGAACGTCCCAAATAGAAGTAGGAGCTGAGTGGACTGAGGAGTTTGCTTCATTGTGTTTCACCTCTAAATTTAACTCCCCAAGTTTTCACCACTGGCTTTCTCCAGCCCACCTAGGATGTCTGCAACATGTTTGTCTACTTGATATTTTCAGGTAAGCTGTCAGATCACCAGTTTCTATATGATTTTAGATCACGGTCACCACAGATCAACTTGGAATGTTTGTAAAGCCCTTTCATTTCACTTATTTCTCGGTTTTTCTTTTAATCTTCTACCATGGGTTCTGGACTTTCGAAAAAACAGCCGAGTTCAGCCACAGCAAAACAGACACAGTGATGCCCACAGGTAATGCTTTTCTTAACACCAACAGGCTTTCTCAGAAATTAACAGGATGCCAAGTCTTTATTTCACCCCAGTCAGTTTTCCATTGTGAGAGCCTGGGTAGTAAACAACAGAGTTTCGTTCAAAGAAAATTTTGCTCACACCCGATTTCCCCTCTTCTTCCTTTACAGTTTCATTCATTCAAAAATATTCTTTGAACACCTTCTTTCTGTTGAGAACTGTCCTGTCGCTGGAGACACATCTTTCAGCAAAGCAGAGATCGATGCTTTAGATAGCACTGCATTGCCACTGGGGGATTACTTTTCTTCAAAGTGTGCCCAAACCAGAGGTTTTTTGCACTTTCATACATGTGTCCTCTGCCTTGGCTTAGACAGTTTCAACATTTTCCTCACCCATCCACACCCTCTGTTTTCAGAATTTTGAACAATAGTCATTACAAGAAACCTTTTGAGACTTCACATGGCCATCTCATTTAAAGACGTGATTACTAATCTTCAACGCCATCTTCTGGTTTGTTGTTTGTTGTATGGGTTCCCTGAAGGTGATATTTTAAAGTGAGTTGAATGCAAACAATAAGCTATCTGAATCGTTAAAACGTCCCGTTTTATTAGCATCTTTTAATTGCACCCAGAAATGGGTTTCATTGTGACATTTTCATACATAGATATAGAATAGTCAGGTCACATTCACCCCCTCAGTTGCCCTTCCTACCACTTACCCCTCGAGCTTTCCCCTTTGTCCCACACCTTAAGCAGTCCTCCTTTTACTTTCCCACCCTTGCCCTGGCACATGAAAGCATGGGGGACGCATGTTTGAGAGACTGGATTTGGATTATTTCACATAACACACTGAGATCCAATCCCAACCATTCCTTGCAAACAGCACAGTTTTGTTTCTTTTTTGGATGAATGAAATTTCCTTATGAATCACTGAAGTTCTTGATGTTCACATTGCCGTGGTGGTGGTGGGGGGAAGTGACCAAGTGGGTGCTGCCAGCTACTCACTGAGAACTTCTTAAATCGTAGTCACAGTTGACGGAAAAGGACAGTTTTGAGACTAAGAGCGCCCTCCTCCTCTTTCCCACTGAGACTTGAGAGAACCGACATATTCCATAGTGAAGTAGTAGACAGTCGTTCTAAAATGTCATAGGAAATTAGTTGGTTGAGCACGGATCCCAAAGGCGGAACTTCCTGGTCCACATAGAGATTATCTGGGTTATTTGGCTACAGAGCCACTAAGTGGGGAAGCAGGTCTGAAGGGGAGAACTTTTCCCTCACACTTAACCATAGAGAGACTGTGAGAGAAGCTGAGCATACCTACATCACTACTTTATGAACTGGCCTTTTAAAATTATACATTCACATGTAAAAAAAATGGTTTACAGAGCCCATGTTAGACACACAAAAAGCCATTATTTGGACAGGGATGTACCTTGCTGGTAGAATGCTTGTCTAGGTCATGGCAAGCACTGGGTTCAACCCCCAGCAACCCAAAGCAAAGCAGTCACCCCTCCAAGAGGCCAAGATCTTGTTTTGGATAAATGTATATTCTCATGAATTCACTCCTTAAAGCAAGAACAACGATTTAAAACAAACAAACAAAAACAGTGAAAATCCGTTGGGGTGTGTGTGAATTGAATTGTTTTTAATCATTTGTAAAAAACTAGAAAATAAAACAGGAAAGTTAAAAAATGCTCTAGTGTTTTGATGCAGGTTGCCTCTGATTAAAAAAACGTCTGATACTCTGACTATAGGTGTGTGGAATGCCAGTTATGACCTCTGACCACTCTATGGCAAGTGGCAGGGAGGAGTTGATGAGAGTTCACGGGAGTGAAGGCTTGTCTAGTGATCTAATTTTCCCATGTTCAAGGGCGACGGTGACCTGCCTTCTGCAGTTCCTAACAAAGAAGTTATGTACATCACAAGTGTTCATTCACTTGGAACTGTGACTATATCCTATATCAGCACTTGGGAAGTGTCACAGACATAATGACATTTATCCTTCAACCATATCTGCATGGTATTCAGGGTTGCACACGTTCAGTTCAGTTGTGCACAGGGGAGAAAGGTCTGTGACTTGCAAAGAACTCAGCTTTTGTGAATCAGTCTTTCCCATTTACACACCTGCTTGCTGCCCCTGGGGTTAAAGTCAGGGGATGGGGAGATGGCTCAGTGGGTAAGAGTGCTTACTCTGTGAGCATAAGGATTGGGCCTGAGTTCAAGTCCTTAGCACCCATGTAAAAAGGCTGGGCATAGCTTTGTATTCATATAACCTCAGAATTGAGAGGATGAGGCAGGTGGATCCCAAGAGCTAAACTGAACATTCTTAGTAAAGCGAGGCATAATTGGACAATAATTCATGCAACTATTTTTATGTAGTCCTGAATATAGCTTCTTAACTGAAATGGTAAAATTCTCAGACTGTCCCAGTGATTTAGTACAGCTTCAATATCAAACATCCAGCCATTGAGAAGCAGAAGCTGTTTTGAACATAGTGGATGCTAGTCGATGTATGTGGCTATATCCTAGGCAGAAAATAACCGCTTAGGCTTATAGGAAATGAGACGTGTCATTTTAATCAATTATGTAACGAGGAGTCACACAGTCTGTGACTCTAGGGGAATATTGTCCCTTTCCTCTATTTCACCATGTTTATAAACAACGGGCTGTTCCCTTTTGGTCTCCCTTTATCAGCTGCATTCTAAGAAGTTTCCTTGTAACACTCCTTTCTGACTTGTTATGCTTGCTGCGTAAATAGTGACGTGCCTCTAAGCAAGGAACCACTTGATACTGCCAACCCCTGTTCCCAAGCCAACAAAAATGCAAATAGTGTGCAATCACTGTGGACAGTCTTCTGAAAACTGAAGCAATGGGTGAAAGGCAAATGGCATTGTCTCATTTCACCCAATTGTAACATTGCTTGATTCTGGATTAGTCTAAACTCTATCTGCTATTCTTCAAGCAGAACACTGCAAAACAGTGTGCCATCACTTGTCACACAGGTGCTATTATTTCTGATACTAGGGCAATTGGGGTGGTAGAGCACATCTTTTAGGATATGTTACATTGATTATGGTCAGCCTCAGGCTTAGGGGGTGTGAATTTTTTCTTACTAGTTTGGGCTATTCAGGACCAGTCAGTTCAAAACATCCTTGATCACTGGCAAAGAAAAGGGGTTCAGGAAGAAGCCTGCACTGGCTTGCTATGATGACAATTAGCAGTATTTATATTGTCATGACCCACATCCCCTGCTAGGAGATGAGGGCCACAGCAAAGAAGGAATTATCTGACTGTGGTTGGGTGTGGCAGACAGAGAGGAGTGACTAGGGGTCTTGGAAAGATTCTACAGAGAGAGATGAGGTCTCAGACAGAGTAGACATGGGAAACAGAGGGACATGTAAAGGAAAAAAAACATGAGGCCAAATGAGGTTGGATCAGAAGATCCAGGTGCTGAGATTAGGAAACGGTACCATCAATAATCCACTTCCCCAGACTCACAGAGGGTGTGTGAATCAGAGTTGGAGGCTCACTGGCTGAGTGTCTCATATCCAAAAGGTTTGGGATCAGAAGTGCTTCAGACTGAGAATCAAATCGGAACCTGTCTTTTGGTTGAACCTGTCAACTTGATGGCATCTATAATCATCTAATAGACAAGCTACATTAGACTGCTTTCTTTTGAATTTGAGGGTATCCAAGTTTGAAAATGTTAACTTTTAGCCCAAATAAGCCCTTACTTCGTTGTTTTAGTTGGGCATTTTATCACAGCAACATGGAAAGTAACTATTGCAGGACCTGATTCTAAACATATGATTCTTTGTTTTATACATACCTTTGGCACATAGCCAGAAGGTAATTTTACGGAATATTTTCATACAAAAGAA